TTCAATTCGCATTGATCTGTGCATTGAGCTCGCATGTAGCTTTCATGGCAGGGCTTCGATGTTTCTGCGAGGTTCTAGATTGGACAGGATGAATTGAACTCCGCGTTGCAGATGAGCTAGATGGATGGCGCTGAGGCCTCGCGTTGGGACATACTGGGCCTCCTGCACGCGCTTCAGGCGGGGTGTTGTGGGTCAGGTGTAGGGTCCTTGGTTGGCTCTTTCGCAGGTGGTACTTCGCCAGCGCGTGGATCGCCATCCTTCCCTGCCGCTCCCATGGCTTGTTGCGGAGGCGCACTAAGTTCTCCGTCGGAAGCACGTCGACGTCGGGTAGCTTACTTGAACCCTTCTTGTCAACGTGGGACACCTGAGGAGCCTGTCTCTGCGTAGAACCAATCTTTTACTCCTCTGTTGGCAACTGAAGTTTTTTTTTGGGAGCTGGGAGGCTCAAGGAAGCTTCAACTCTGAATTTAAGAGCTCCCGAAGCTTCATGGAACTTAAAACGCAATGATCGCAGAAGAAGGTAATTGCAAGGCCCTGCGGTATTGTCCCAAAACGCCGGGTACTGGGCCTTTACCACCAAGACACGTTCGGGCAGCCAGGGATCACGTGGTTTCGAGCTGCTTGCAGATCCCCACAGCACACGTGGCACCTATGCCGGGGCCCAAGGAGCCAGGTACGACTTTGATAAATTCTGGCAAGACATCAGGCGGGTCCTGGACACCCTTTCAAATGGAAATATTTGCCAGCGGAAAATGTGAGCCTTCATCATTTCCGCCGGATGTTTCTCCTGCTGCTGCTGCTGCTGTCTCGCCCAGAATCTTAACTTGATCGCTGAAATTTTGGGATGCGCAGCTGCAGGTATGACCGGCGACCCCTAGAAAGTCTCACTCGTAATTGTAAGGTCAAGCCATACTGTAAATCCATGACTCCTCCGCCGTTTGTGGGGCTTGGGATGGCTCTAAAAATCCGACGGTAATTTCCATTCCCCAAGGCAACCATTCTTGATAAACGCTAAGTAAACGAATAACAATAAGAAGATTAGCTACAGCGATAATCCTACTAACAATAAGAGTACCACTAGCAATACTGATAGTCCTGATATCGATACATTCTGAATTACAACCATTCATCCTAAACCGTCAACAGTAGCTTCCATTCATTTTCCATCGTAACTGTATGACTTATAACATATGAAATCTGTCTGTAGTCTGATACAAGGACCGAAAACAACCCTGAATCCTAAACGGTCTGAGGGGTTTGTCCAAAAATTAAACCCTAAACTCCAAAAACCTTAAACCCTAAACCCTAAACAAACAAAAGCAGCAAGAAGGGTTTGGTGCAAGAGGATGCCGTTTGGGATTCGCTGCAGATCATCAGCAAAAACCTTTGGTGGCCCAAGGGTTTGGTTCCAAGGTGGGCACACTCCCTACAATCCTAAATCCTAAACCCTAAACCCCTAAACCCCTAAACCCCTACAGCTTGGTATTCCGTTTGAGCAGACGGAGAAAGGCCGGAGAAAAAAGAGCAAAAACAACCTACACCTCTGAGCTTTCTAGGGATGTTTCCAACTTGAATTTTGGGTCTGGGTCCTCTAATGGAAGCACGTGACATAGGATACTGCGATGTTGTTTTTAATCTAAGATATTATTTAAGAGTGAACGTACGTCCAAGGCTGCCCTACATGCCAACAGCTTCAAACAGTCCCATGCCCCGAATGCAAAGCTTCCCAACAACCGTGCCACCAAATGTGCCTGGATCTTTGACCTTAGTTGAAGCATGAGTTGTAAGCCCAAAACGACCACTGAGGTTCGATACCTGCCAGGGCCTCTTTCTTTCATGTCAAGGTCTGTGGCTGCTTTTGACACTTTCTGTTTGGCAGCTTGTTGCTAAAGCATGAAGAACCTTCAGGAGCATCAGCACGCACTCCCAGATTTGCCAGCTTCAGTGCGGGTTCTGATCTGTTTTGATTTGCCTTCTCTGCCGGCGACCTGTAAGCCTGAGCCCAAAACCTTCAACTTGCCCAACATCTTTCGCTTGGCTCCAGAAGGGTGAAAGGGGGGCTCTTCTCTGTCCCCTTGGCAGCGCCCTAATCGTGGTGGAGGCACCTGGTCTGCATCTATTCCTCCCCTGGTCGTACACTTTTTTTGGAAGTCAGGGTGCGTAATCTCAGAAGCGCTCAGTTAGTTTGCGCTACGTAGCTGCTGCATACGTACAGACAGGAACATTGTGCCTGTCAACAGGTGCACTCTGCAGCCAAAAGCTGCGAGCTTGTCAAAGTATCTTTAAGTATCCAAAATACATAACCTGCCCTACTATTAAATCGATTATTACTTCTGGAAGCAAGTGGTTGTAGAGCCAGAAAAAAAACAATCACGGGGATGGAGAATTAATTTGCAAGTCATGGAGTTTCAGGATCGTAGTCAGAGCACAATCTTCAGCAGCAGAGGAACGGCACCAGCACTGTTCTATACAGCCTTCCATTCAATTTCTCCTAAATCCTGAACCATAAACCCAAAACCCTAAACCCTCTCAAAGTGATGGGATGAAACCACATTTCAATTCGAGTATGACCAACCCTCAACCCCTAAAGCCTATATAACTTTATTATAGTTGTTTCCATTTTCTGTTCCATTATCCCTATATAACCCCAGTATACTGTAGTAGCTTCCATTTTCTTTTCCATTATCCCCATACAACCCCAAGATATACCCCTTAAATCCTTTTATACTCCCTATAATCCCTATAGTTTCCATTTTCTTTTCCATTGTAACCCTGAACAAAGAGTTGTTAACCCTAAACCCTAAACCCTAAACCCTAAATGCAGACCCAAAAGAGCCGATGCACAAGAAAACCCTAAACCCTAAGCCAAGGCGCAGTCGTCCATACGCTGGTTGTCTTAGGGGACATCACTGGCATGGCTTCATGCGCTGGGCTCCCAAAATGGGGGTTTCCCAAATCAGGGGTACCCTTTTTAGGGGTCCTTATAATAAGGACTATAGTATTTTGGGGTCTATATTGGGGTCCCCTTGTTTTGGGAAACTACCAAATGTCAAGGGTTGGGCTCGAAGAAGTTCTGGTGATACCAGATCACATAGGGGTTATAGGTTTTGAGGGAGAATGGAGAACCAGATGGACAAGAACATGGAAGATGAAATGGAGAGTGGGGTTCTATAGGGAGGATATTATTTGAGGGACCCTTCAGGTGGTGCAAGCTATGCGGCATCAACCTTAGTGGTGCTGAAGTTTGTAAGTTCCGGTGCACATGCCTTGACTTTTTGTGAAAAGGGGGCAAATGGTGCCAGCTCACAGGTGGTCCGCGTGACGATGATACTGCTTGCAAGCTGTCTGACGTGCAGGATTCAGACGGTCGTTGGAAAGAAATGACATGGGGATTGGTCTAAATTCCCTATAATACGGGGTCCTATATTTGGGTTCCCATTATAATACGGGGCCCTATATAAATTTCCCTCATTTTGGGAACAGTAATTTAGGGAAACTGCCACATGCTGCCTCATGAGGACGTTTGTTGCAAGCAGCTGCATCATGAGGTCGCCATTCGTCCTCCGGCTCCACCTGAAAGAAAGGCTCGGGTTTCAACACTTACCTGGCTTGTAAGGAAAGCATGCCTCACCTTAGAATTGCGAATCGAGGTGTCAAGAAGACCCCTTGTGTTATGCTATTATAGTAGTTTCCGTTTTCTTTGCCATTATCCCTATAGCCCCAATATAGTGCATTGGGGTTATATAGGGATAATGGAAAAGAAAATGGAAACTATAGGGATTCTAGGGAGTACATAGGGATTTGAGGGGTACATATTGGGGTTATATGGGGATAATGGAAGAGAAAATGGAAGCTACTATAGTATGTTGGGGGCTATATAGGGATACTGGAAAAGAACATGGACACTAATATAACGGGGTTATATAGGGTTTAGGGTCTGTACGAGCCCTTAGAGACTTCGCCTGTCACAAAGCGGAGTTTGGCTTGGGAAACTGTAGCCATGCTCAGTTGGCAGTTGATGGAAGGGGCTGTAATATTAGGTAGGCAACAGCCAAGTTGCAGCCAGGTAACATCCCGTAAAGATAGTAGTAGTGTTCTGTAATATACCTACTCGCACCTAGCTGTATTAGTCTCAGTATTTGTAACATGTTTCTGATGCCCAACAGGGCGCTCTCCCTCATGGGCGGGCTACTTTCTTTCCCGAGTGCACTCAACAGCATCGAGTCAAGATGAGAGACATGAGGTTTATAGAAAGAGTATATTCTTTTCTTAAATCCTTATAGTTCTGCTTATGTTGTTTTTCATATTCATAGTTATACTGGTACTGTAGTGAAAACTGGTGCTGAATACACTAGTAGGTATACGAATGCCAGGCCGGTTGTAAGAGACGTCCGGCGGGACCGTGGAGCTCAGAACCATGGCAAGTGAAGCACGGTTAAGGGTTTGGGGTTTAGGGTTTAGGCCCCTACACCTAGATTGCCTATATAGGGGTTTACCCAAGATTTGGGGTACCTTTTTGGGGGTCCCAGCACAAGGTATATAGGGGGTACGCGAGGCCTATGTAAGGTCCCTACCTGGTAAGCTGGGGTTCCAAAAGTTGGGGCCTGGTTTTTGCCCATGCCTGTGACTGTTGGCACGCTTGAGATCAGCGATGTCAAACTCGATGACAGATACGAGTGTTTTGAGCAGGGCACCCACTATCCCTGCAAATTTTGGGGGCTCAGGGACTAGGGTTCAGCATTCAGGGTTTCAAAAGCTGGTGGGGGCCCCCTTTGAGGCCCATTATCGTAGTTTGGGTTATACAAGGGGAAGATTTTCGTTCTGGAAGTGTCCAGCAATTGTTGCTCTGAACGTAAGAGGTTCGTGACAGGTTGCAGTTCAGAGGACTGTTGTGGAGGGTCGCGCGTCGCCGTGCTGGAGTGGGCCAGGCGCTTGGGCACTCTGGCCTGTTTCTCCATGTTTCTCCCATGTGAAGCAATTCTGGCCCATTGCTTACCAAGGAGGGAAAGTCTTCAAGGGAAACCCTTCCCGGAGACTCATTTGACTTCGGTGGTTCCGAAAGTGGTGAAGGAGCCACTCCGGGCAGAACTCGAGTGTGCCTCGACCTTGAAGGGCTTGCTCATAACAAACCTTTCAATGAGGATTCGGATGTGTGTGCCAAGAGTGTGCCTGAGCGAACTCACGTTTGCTCAGAGCTACCAACAGTTTCAACCTGGAGCTTTGCGGATGAAGATGCGGAGGAGGAGGATTTAGCGGAATGCCTCAAAATCTTCGCTTCTGAAAACGGCAAGGACAATGTGGAGGCACATGACCTTCCCAAGTCGCAGCCCAAGGCATCGACTCGTAGCTCGTGCAGGTTGATGGACATTGTTCTGCGACGCAGGGCCAAAAAGCCCGTGCAACAGCCGACTCCCAGCCCGACCTGCCTGTCACCGGATGCGCCTTCGTTGTGCGCGCTGGCGTCAAGACCCAGGAGCCAAACGCCAAGCCAAGCAAAGGAGTCCTTGAGCCTGGGCAGATCTTTTGCATTTTTTCTGTTAGCAGTTCACGCAGTTTCTGTAGCTTTTCTCCGAAAATTCTCGTGCGGTTCGGAGACCCAGGAAAACCGACGCCTCTCCAGGCCGAAGGGAAGAAGGGGCTCCTGCTGATGGTCTGCAGCTGAATGAGGCAGGCATCATGAGGGAAGACGTTGAGAAGTGATTGATGTGTCTGCACCGCTGTAGCCCAGCTGTTGCATTCACAAATTTGCTGCGTTTGTATCAGGCCAATTTTTTCATGTCTCGCAGTAGTTATCTGCTAACTTACGACAACCCCGGACTTGACACTTGCCTCCTCATTTCATGCCTTTTGTAGCTGCGGGATATGATCTTGAGTTGTAAGTTGATAACCATAAATCCTCGCAACGCGAACCCCCAAAACCCTGAACCCCAAACATCAACAAGCCTGAATCTCCAAACTTGACACTCCTATCTAAACCGCCTTGATTGAACTTTATCCGAGCCCCATTCACATCCAGAAGATCATTTGGTAATTCCCCAAAAAACGGGGACCCCATAGACCAAAATAATGAACTCCACACTACCTAAATCCTTAAGCCTATGTAACCCCCTTTTACAGGTAGCCCTAATTTTGGGAAACTCCCATTTGCAGAGGTTGACATTGGATTGAAGGATAAGCCACGCAAGGTCGGCCAAGACTCAGGCCCGTGAAGGGTTTAAGGTTTAGGGTTTGGGAGCTACATGAGCTATGGTCTAAATTCCTTAAAGAGGGTTATGTGGGGGATTATATAGGGGAGTAATACAGGGGTTATCGACGGGGAGACTGGGAGTTTAGTGATTATTCTCCTAACCATGGAGCATCAAACGGAAGATAATATTGACAAGGGAATGGAAGCCATGGTTACACAGAGGTTCTGCAGGGGTACATTGCTTTAGGGTTCATGGGTTTTAGGGGCTAAAGGTTTTGATGGGTGAGGAAGTGTGGCTCAGGGTTGAGGGGTTAAAGATTCACGCAACTAGAGAGTAAATCCAGCATCCGGTGGTATTCGCAACCGTGATCGCAGCAGCCACGGCATCAGGTGATGTAGGTTGGCTTTAATTCATGAGGTCTTGGTTATTCAAGCCCCCAGGACCAGAGGAGAGTTTGGAAGGCGGCGTTGCTTCCCGGGTTTTTGGCTGTCAGGCAGTGGATATGAGCTACAGTCTAAACTCCTTAAGGGGGGGGGTTCATATAGGGATTATATAGGGGACTACCTCACGGGACGTTCATGGGGGAACTAGGAGTTTAAGCTATGGCTCATATGGAGTTGTTCCACGACCTTCTTTGGGTTTCCCAGGTCCTTACGAAACAAGAGGACGCCAGTGTTGAAGGATTTTTTCTGTGCATTTTTGCAGACGTATTGAGTGTATTGTGACAAGACTTGGATTTTTTTGCAAGTCAGACTTTATTGTTCTGCAAGATTCCTGCTGCAAGCATAGACCCTAACCTTTCTTCCCGTGGGATCTCGCTTCTACACCACGCAAACTCTTGTCAAAGTTAACGCGAAGCAGAAAAGTGCTTCTTCCTGAAAAAGGAGGGGTCAAAGAACCGATTCTCTTCTGGAAAGTCGCAAAGTAACATGTCATTTTGGTCTTTTGAAATGGGATTGGGAGAGCCCAAAGCACCTTCTAAGGCGCCCTAGGCCACGCGAGAAGTTGTTAAAATCATGACGCACAGCAAAGGTGCATCATTTTCGATGTCATTTCCTCAAGTGCAGCTTCTTTCTCAAACTGGCCATGGTTATGCGAGGGGTGTTGTCAAGTCCGCGAAGCGGGCCCTCCAGACCGAGAGTCCAAAACCATCCACCCTGCATGCTTCCCTGAACCTAAAACTTATTGGTTCTTAGTAGGGGAATAAGGGCAGTTCATCTATATATAATCCCAACATATATTGTAGTCGCTTATTCCCGACTAAGAGCCAGTTGAGTAAACCCTGAACCCAGAGCCTAAGCCTTGGACCCCACACCCTAGAAATTAATCCCGTCCAGGAAAATTGCCTGTGCTGGGGCACAACCTTGCTATGGCCTGGAAGCAGATGCAACAGAAAAAGACAAGCAAGATCTCCATCTAAGATGCTAGTTCGTGTTTGAATCTCGGAATTTGCTGGCTTGAGTTATGGTGGTTTGAGTTAGCTCTCGGCATTTGTATCTCTATGTAGAGTAGAGCATGTCCACGACTGCTTTTGTTTGGTGCTCACGGTTGTGTTTGACAAGCCGTGCGTAAGTCACTGAGTCTCAAGTCAGGTGTCTCAGCCAGTCTGGTTTTGACGTATGAAGATTTGTTTGCCGCACTCCGCACATTGCTGGGCTTGGTACCATGAGCTAGATTGCTAGATAAATGCAGCGCCCAAAAGCTGCTTATGAGTCCCTGTCTTGCACACTTGTTGGGAAATCATATATCTTGTGGGATCATTCATGTATTGGACCCGACTGGTGTATATGACCTTACCAGACCGTACAGTCTCAAAGTGTCAGTACTATGCTTGTATTCGGCGAAGCTTACTATTGCGTCACAGCAATCATATGCAAGCCCCAGCATAGCGGCGTGGTGAGCGGCCACCAAAATCACACCGTATGATTGGGCGGTGCAGTTCTGCTGTTCGAGAATGATGCAGAGTACGGTGGGCAGCCCATTGCTCCAGAGGTTTTGTAGTGCAGCTCACTTAGATGCATTCATAATGTCCCTAAACCCTAAACCCTTGCCCTGTGCCAGCCATGATTTCCTGTCCTCCTGTGCTGAGGAATCCGCAAAGGCAAATATCTTGAGGCCAGGAGGAGAACTCTGTGTAATTATTAGCCTTACCAGTGGACATAGGGGTCCCCCTTGTAGTTTGGTATAGTCCCTAATACAGGCCCTAAAAAGGAGCTTATGTCCCTTGAATTTCATGGGAAATAGTGATTGAGGCTCATATCCCACTGGAAATGGTACTGCTGAGGTTACAGACGGATACTGTAGCTCTTCGTCTCGCCTCAGTCTCCAGGGTCAGTGACACAGGAGATTCAAACCCCTAATCCCCCCAATCCCCTAAAGCCTAGACCTTCAAACCCCCAAAACCCTAGACTCTACACCCTAAACCCTACACCCTAACACTAAGTAGAAAGCCTAGACCCCTAAACCCCCAAAACGATTCATTCTTTGCACGGCTGCTTGCCGAAACTCGCTCATGCCGGCTCCAGCCGTCTGGCGTGCAGAACTGCAGATGCATAGGCTATAGTCTAAACGAGTCTAAACTCCTTAAAAGGGGGGCTATATCGGGGACTATATAGGGAGGGGTTACTAAGGCGGATACTAGGAGTGTAGACTATAGCTCACATAGGCTCGGAATGAAATTCGTGGGTTTCCAGGAGCTGCAAGATTGTCAGAGCAGAAAAACCACAGTTGGTTTGGGGTTTGGGGTTTGGGGTTCAGGGTGTAGGGTTCAGGGTGTAGGGTTAGCTCAAAAAGCAAACCCAGCTCCTGGATGCCATCATGACTGGCGAGTTGCAAGGCTCCCAGCAGAATAATGCCGACCTTTCTGAGCTTCTGGATATGAGGCAATGTGAAGGCTAGACTTATTCATTTTTCCCCTTCGCAGGCTGAAACGACTTGCACAGTCCTACACCAGCCAAAACTTGGGCCTACAACGTTTCGCACTTTAAACAAAAGGGACGTGTGGTCTAGCTCCTGATGTTCAATTGAATAGAAACCGAACTACAATCGACGGCTAGGGGCTAGTACACAGGCACTTGTGCCACTAAAGTACGATGCAAAGCGAAGAAATGAACGTTCTAGAAGCAAAAATGCACAAGAGTTCATTCTTGATTTCGAGGACGATACGACCGTTTTTTCCTGAAAGCTTTTCCTCTAGCACTGCAATAAGCTGTTGGGAAAGTCTAATTACACTGCTCGAATCAGGAGCTTCCACAAAGGGCCCGAGAGGCTTGGGTTGTGGACAATGATGCTTAGCTAGCTTTCCTTTGTGGCCCTTGTGCGCTGCGAGCACGAAGTGGGGATTGATCAGGGCCATTTGAGGGTAACAGCCTTAGTTGATGCACAAATGGGCATTGCTCGATTTAGAGGGCTCACGCCAGGGGTGCGTGTGAGCCGTGTCAACTTCCCTCCCGGCAAGCGTGCGGTGCACGCGGCGCGTCCCACCAGAATGCCTGGCCAAGAGTGTGGGCACGCCTCAGAAGCCACAAAAGGGGAAATGGACCCCAATGCGTCATTGGGAGTCCATTCACCATTTTGGGGCATTCCAATGCCCATTCAAATCTATACTTTTCTCTGCTCTGGCCCAAGATCTTGGGCTTTGGGGTGCTCATGATGCTTTTTGGGCCCCAAAACTGAACGATTTTCTCGACAGCGGGGTGATGTCCTGGAAGGCGCCTTGGAAAAATGGAGATCCGATGATGCAGGGTCGGCGGCACGGGATCCGCACTTGTAGCAAAGCATAGCTACGTTGTTGGAGCGAACACGAATGGACGTTGCCCGAGCTAAGAGCCTCTGGCTTACACCTCCGACCCTAAAACGAGGAAACTGACAATGCAATGGAGCGAAGACAGTTTGGGCCGGTCGTCGGCCAATCGTCCGTGCCTCCCAAAACCCACCCTTAGACCGAACAACTTTGTGCTGCGGCGGCTGCCGTTGGGCCTGATGACCATGCGGTGTTTGCTGAGCCCTAGCAGTGTGCCGCCTCTCATCAACACTGCTTCATCATGCATTGCTTTTCCTGGCCTCCCCTCTTTCCTTGCTCTCTCACCTGGTCCTGCAACGAGTCATGGCGGCATCGCAGCTGCCCCTGGCCAGATTCCTTCCACTGAGTACAGCACTTTGAGATAGGTCCCCCCCTCCCCCTTTGATGCTGAAAGAGTTAAGGTTCTTCATGCTCAAGCCTTCCGGACATGCTTAGTCATCAGGCTGTCTTTCACACGCACAATAAAACTGCTTCGTAGCGCGAGCCTGAAGCATATTCAATGTTGTCAGGCATGCG